ACTACAACAGTTCTTATAAAATTATAATAAATAAAAAAACAGTGATGCTGAAAGATAAGAGAATTTGTCGAAATTACTGTCTATTTACCATTACTATCGAAAGGGTTACTACTCCAACAACGAAACCGTGAAAATCCAGTTGCCTAGTTCTGGTGGGTAAACTAATTTAACTTCGATAATTTCATTTCCACGTAACATTCCAAATTCCACCTGTGTAATTTATTTTTGTTGTAAGCCCCTAGACCCTAAACCCTTAATTTATGGAAACTTGCGGTCGAGGGTTTCCTAAATAAATCATTCGCGATATTTGCTCATGACCTACAAAGCCTAGTCTTACACGCCCGAAGTCAATTTCGAAAGGGTCCTTTTATTTCATGCTGTTCAATTAATTATTCAATTCAATAATTTAATTAGGCAATAAAAAGGAAAAGCTACCCTGAGTGCTCATTACTGTAAACAGTTAATACAATTTACCAGTTCGTTGACGGAGACGTTGTGAAAGACACCAAATATTGTATCACGTTCGTAAATATGTATTTCCTTTAGTTCTTCTTTCTCGCGAAGAATTAATTCAAGTATTTTTAATAACATTTTTACACAGTGTTGTTTTGCAGAGTGTTATATTAAAACTTTGGAATGAACAGTAATTGTGAATTCAAAATTTACCTAATAGTTAACAAAACGAATTGTCTGAACGACGATCGGACGACAATTCAGAAATCAGAAATATCAGAATTAAGTATAACGTAAATCTTCTCGTTTCTAGCAGTTTTAAATAAAGGAGCCAATTTTGTTGATTCGCTATTAAGTTTGAATAAATAAATTTCAAATATTTAAGCATGTTAGATATCCCTATTATTACTATGTTTAACTCGAATATTTAATTATTTTCAATACACGTTTTGATTCAAATGTTTCCTTTGTCTTTTGTCTAAAGATTTTCAAACAATTCCATCAAATATTCCGTGGTATATATACATTGATTTATTTAGGAACCGGTGACAAAAACCTTATTGTCTTGTAATAATTAGTGTATATACAGAAAATATAACCATAAATACAACGGAAGTGTGGCAATCTTTTCTTGGTTTGATGTCGATGGTAAATAATTGAACTAATAGCTTATGATTGAGGAATTACTGGTGGCTCGGAGACCTTTCCAGTTTCACCAGGACAGGTGAACGAGTAAGGGGTCAATCAATAAGGCTTGGAAGCATAGTCAATTGCTAACAGAGGAATAAATCTTGTGCTACATTCTGCGGTATAATTCAAAGTAATCTAACAAATTTGCGAGAGTGGGTTCGACTTTCAAATTCAAATAAAACAACGATGCTAAGCATGTGGCCGGAATAACTAATGAAAATTTTAACAAATATTAAGTGAAATTGTTACATTAATCTTTAACGTTCCCGACCCAAGGACCATGCTACATTACGAAATTAAACCACAGATTCTTTGTAACTGTGAGGACGATAATGAAAACATCGTTAAATACACTGAATTAAAGTTTAATATCTAGATTAAGATCTAGATTTAATTCTAGCATAGCTTGAACTTCGACATAAATGTGTTAATCAAAGTACTACGAATTGTTCCACAGCATAATATACCTATACCGATTAATAAAACACCGTTTGATACTGAATCGATAATAGTCATATAATGCCAGATATCACCTCTGAAAGGCCATCAACAATAACTATAGGTCCATTTTTTTTAAGTATAGACAATATTAATAATAAAATGAGTTTTTTTGAGCCGCAACTTATTATATATCATCATAATCGGTTGCTCTTGGCAGAACAGTCGTGGTCATGTGGAATTCTTGCTCATTAAAGCCTTGACAGATGTTTTCCACAGTTTGCGTACCGAGGCCTGGCGCACACACTCGTTAGGTGGGGTTTCAGTAAGGTCTTTCACCTGATCAGTCCAACGCATGGGGATTCGTCCACGAGATTTCTTACCATTGACCCTACTCTGAACAACAAGTTTCTCGATAGACTCTGCTGGCCGACGCGATTATTATATATAATTGAAACAAAATTCCTCATACTAGGTAAACCTGTCCTATGGGAGTAGATACAATACATCAAATTTAATGGCTATGGAAATGAAAAGCGTTAATAATGAAACAGTCAACAACTGGTACAGACAAGGAATGCGTCGACACGTACATCGTAATCAAATCTACAACTTAATGTATTAAACTCTAATTTATTGTACCATAGTAAGGATTTGCGAGCGGTTCTAAATTTGTACAGCGCACATAGTTTCAATGTATTTTTTTAGTATCCTTATTTTTTTTTACATTTCAACTGACTGTTTTCACGGAGGTCGGCAATTCCTAGAAAACTTGAGAGAACTCCTAGAGAACTAAAATTTGAGAATTTCGTACATGTCTGGTAGAAAGAATACTCAGACGACAAAATCTATATCTATCTATACGTGAAGCAAAAACTTTGTATCCCTTTTTACGAAAATTGCGCGGACGGAGGAGTATAAAATTTTCCACACTTATAGAGAATATAAAGAAGAAGTGCACAATGCTAATATTTTTTTAAAATAACGTATAAAAGATACATTAAATTAATACAGAAAACATTACACACACTACATACCATGTATTTGACGCACACACGCATGCATACTATTTATTGTCAAACTTTTGTTCTTGACGTCTGTTACGTGACGTCTGAGAATAGATTAATATTGTTTGTCTATGTTAATATTTTTTAAAGTGTAGTCTTGGCGAAATTTGTGATTATAGAAGTATAAAATACAATCATAATAGCGTACAAACTTACAATTCCAATTAATTATAGTCGAATTTCGACTTCTGCGGGATCTCTAGTCATGTCAGATAGCTATTGACGTTACATTCCTCTAGGCGTATATTAGATCGCATGGTCACTGGAGGCAGGGCGTGTTCATGTTCCGTGTTACTATTTAGCTTTAGACCGGACTGTCTTTGTACTGATTTGAAATTAAAAAAAGGCGCGGTGTAAAATTGCGTGTGTATTGTTCTCATAACAAACAGGATAAATTTTACCATTTCAGTTGACAATTTATGTTCCGTGATACAGTTTAGTTTTAGACAGGAATGTCTGTAGGCTGGTTTTAAATTAAAAAAGGCGCGGAGTGGAATTGCGTGTGTGTATTGTGCTCATAGCAAACAAGACTAATTTTACCGTTTGATTTGATAATTGAAATTTAGTTAATTAAAAAAAAACAATTCAAATAAAAAATGTTGGCATTCATGTAAGATAGTAAAACGACTATACTCTTTATTGCTGCTGTGAAGCGTGCGTCCTATTTTGCAAAGCTGGATAACTGTTGTTCCTACAAAACCAAGAGTTCGACCTCATGTCTATAGATCGAGCGTTATCGCTAAATATTATACTATCGATAATCTGGGATTATACCCTGCACAGCGGACCGGGATTTACTAGCAATTAATAAATTAATTTGAACCAAAAGGAAATCGTATTTTGAGCAAAATAAAACAAGTTAACCGGTAGACCGTATAATCCAAACGAATTTTTAGAAGAGCGCTCTAATTAAAAATAATCAAAAATATATTTTGTTTACTGCATTGATGGATGAACGGGTTCACGGACTAATGTTAGTAAAGTGATAACAGGAACCCTGAAATATGAGTTCGGAGCCTCAACTGTATTTTCACCGCTGTTCGACCCTTCAAACCGCTACGCATGACTGCTTCACGGCAGAAATAGAAAGAACAGTGCTACCTACTCGTGCAAGCTTGGTAGGCAGCGGCTTGGCTCTGCCCCTGGCATTGCTGAAGTCTATGGGCAACGGTAACCACTCACCATCAGGTGGGCCGTATGCTCGTCTGCCTACAAAGGCAATAAAAAAAAAATTAAAAAAAATGCGTCATACCTCTAGTAAATGGTGGTTGGGAATCGTAACACATTAGTATAACACTCAGAGAAATCTGCTGCCCACATTCCGGTGAATCCCTTAGTCGCTTTTACGGTACCCACGAGAGGAAATGGGGTGTTGCTATTCTTAGCATATACCACGCAGTTGTTTTCTTCAACGAAAACATTTAACGTAAATGAATTTGTTATAAAAAAAACTTAAATCCATAAAATGACCTTAGTTATTTCCACGTTAGCTTGTAAATTTATTTTCAAAACTATAAATCTATATATATAAAAATGAATTGCTGTTCGTTAGTCTCGCTAAAACTCGAGAACGGCTGGACCGATTTGGCTAATTTTGGTCTCGAATTATTTGTGGAAGTCCAAAGAAGGTTTAAAAGGTAGATAAATATGAAAATGCTCAGAATTAAATAAAAATAACAATTTTGTTTTTCCTTTGATGTGTCCCCCGTCGAACGGATTCCTTTTGTTTGTTTTAAGTTTACTTTATACAAAAGTTTAGGTATTTTATTTATCGATTGAGGCACTACGAAGTTTGCCGGCTCAGCTAGTTTTTAATAAAACTACTTTTGTACAATTTTTGTCTCTCGTGGTTCAAATTAAACCTTGTTAAATTTGGCTTTTCCTTCAACATGACAAAATAAAGTATTTGTTAATATTTCGGTTAAATTATGGCTACAGTTTTAAACACAATAAGCTTTGTTTGAATTGTTGAAAGAATTTTCGGGATCCTCAAGTAATTACAAAAAAAAAACAGATATGCTAGGATTTGGGGTCAATATTATAAACATTTTCATTTCACAGTTTTACAGAAATAATGTTGAACAATTAAAAAAATAATTTGAGTACATTGAAAATACTTCAGAAATACATTATATTAAACCTAAAAAGAAAACGGGATCAGATTTTTGAATAAATACTATTCAAAGATCGTTGTTTAAAAAAATTCAGAGAAAGAAACGTGCGTTTTGGACGCGAGTTTGTTAAATAACCATATTTTAATCCTCGTGGTATCCTTATAATTTGCCTATCCTTGTTATCTGAACTACACATTATAAATTTGTCTTAGCTGTGCACATTCAGTTAATACTGTACCTCCTATCATTACGTATATGCGATGTCGCTGCTGCCCAATTCGTATGTTAAACACTGGTTAACTGTCACAAATCATGTTATTTATGTCACACTATTTTTAATTACGAAGTGTTTTAAACGTTCATTGAATAAAACAATTTTTTAATGTTCGTTCGCTCAACGTTACTCGAGAGGCACGCGTGAATCCACGTGCAATTCCGCGAGAAAAATATGAATATGCAGTTGTATATTGTGATGTGGAGTGAGCGATACTGACGCGTCGAGGAGCGTGCGCACCCTGGCTCTCGACGGACTCAACTGTAGGGCTTCAGAGCCGCGGGGGCGGCGCGCCCACGCTCGATAACGCTGCCTTCCCAGCGCCCTCCCACATTACAAAATCATTTATAAAATTCAACATTTTTTTTTATTATATTTCGACTTCATATCTTTTTTCATTTCGATGAATAAATAATTCGAAACTACTAATAATAACACGGTACCTAATGTAAGTGAAACCGTCTACGTAATGACCGCTTTAAATAAATACGCCCACGATTTAACGACCATTATTACCATATTACATTATAATTTGCCTTCAAAAAGTTTTACTGTCATACCTAAGCTTTTAATATTGACAAATAATGTTCTGGCACCTATAAAAAAAAGAAACAGGTTTGTTTATTATTTTTATTTAAAAATTTACGCTATTTACAAGCGTGTCTTAGTCAGAGAATCGCAATTTTTGTACCCTGTAAGCTAGCTTGCCGGCTCATTAAGATGGTCACTCGTGCATGATACTCAAGTTCTCATGGATCGTTTGGAACATACGAAAGGCCTTCAATTCTCTCTGTGTTTTGTACGATATGCACCATTGGAGGTGGAATTGTTTTAAATAATTATTCTTATTTGAACTGGACTCAATCATACGAATAGAACAATGAACAATTTTATATAGTTCAATCACATTCACATTACAACTGATGATAGTTTCCGTAGCATTTCGTAGCATATCTGTAGAAGCGTAGCATTTTTTTAACCTTATAATCTCCTCAGATATCAATATATATTACAGCCTACTTTCTCATATTATCATATTGAACGAATGTCTTTTGTGTGCAAAGGAAAGTAAACGTCCTATAATAATGTTATAAAAACGAGTTAGCGAGAGTATAGCTACCGCGATATTTATATTTGAGATCATAAGTAATACATACATTAATCGTTCGCTGATATAAATTCAATAATTACAATTTAAACTTACGAATAAATGCCACAATTTTTTTTCGTATTGCAGTGTCTGTTTATATACAATCTTGAAAAAACTACTTTTGACAGGAAATCCCTACACACTATGACTATTAAAAATAATAATTCTGAAATCTCGTTAAGGCTCAATGTGACGCATGATTTGAAATAATAATTAATTAAACATTGGAAGCAATTAATCACTCTACGGCTGCTAGTATCATCATCTATATACATATAATAAATCAGTAGAATTCTGTGTGTCTGCACTCGGATGAAAAATGGAAAGAAAGTAATAATAGTAACTAGAGAAGAGTAATAAAACAAACTTTAAAATTATTTTGTCTGTCTTTTTGTTTGAATACCCACATCTCCGGAACTACTGGGCGGATTTCCAAAATTATCCACATCCAGATCATTTTTGGAATCTATACTGCTAAATGTTAGAATTTAAATAGCAAATAATTATAATATTATTAGCACGATAGTAATTTTGTCTGTTTGTTACGGTGTTCCACGGCCAAACAGCTGAACCGATTTTGACGAAATTCGGTGTTGAAATAGTTTGAATCCATGGAAAGTATATAGGCTACCTTTTTTCCCACTTCTGAACACGGATCTCCGTCCACTTGATATATAGTGAAGCCCACACGGACGAAGCTGCAAACTTAAAGATAGTCAAGAAATAATTAATCAATATAATATTTACATGAAATTCGAACCTGATTGAAACGTTGTTGAGGGGAGCTTACAGATAACATCATTAATCACTGTTGAAAGTACTGGTTGATTGTTAATAAAATACCATGTATTTTGAATCTGCAGACCGGTTACCAGACTTAAAATGTAAAAAAATTATCTTAGCTATCGTATTTTGTTGAGGGTAGGTAAATGTACCTTTTACGGACGGATGATAGGAAGAAGCAAGTAGCTCTAGATGGCTACAGTCATCATCATCATCATCAGGCAGTAATAGTTCACGGCTGGATATAAACCTCTCCAACTGCATACCACTGAGCACGATTCTCGGCTTCTCTAATCCAACTCTTGCCAGTCATCCTGCATAGCTCGTCAGTCCACGGACCCTGAGGGCGTCCTGCACTACGTTTGCCAATTCACGGTCTCCACTCAAGAACACGTTTATCCATCCGGTTATCGGTTTTGCGGCTAATACTTTACTGATGGTAGGACCTCGTGTGAGTCCGCACGGGTAGGTACCACCACCCTGCTTATTTCTGCCGTGAAGCAGTAATGCGTTTCGGTTTGAAGGGAGGGGCAGCCGTTGTAACTATACTGAGACCTTAGAACTTATATCTCAAGGTGGGTTGCGCATTTACGTTGTAGATGTCAATGGGCTCCAGTAACTACTTAACACCAGGTGTCTAAGGTATCTAGGCAATAAAAAATAATAAGGCCAGCCCCTATGCTGTGTCGTCAACTTTGGATCTCTGTTGGATCAGCTCGTTCCGGATTCGACTCTTCAAAGAAACTCTAAGCATAGACCTCTCCATAGCTCGCTGAGCGGCTTTATGCTTGTGGACCAGCATAACCGTGAGTGTCCACGTCTCGCACGGTCGCAGACGCGTTTTTTTTTTCTGATAAAAAGCCAAACTGACTATAATCGTTAAGATATCCTTATCATTATGTAAAAAGGCCGTATTGTCAACAAATTGTCGAAAATAATAAAAGGTTAAATAACTCAAACTTTTGATTGGAACCCATATGGTGGTTTTTTTTGTAAACTACCACACGAGTGTGATATAATATTAAGAGCCACTAGTATGTATTGCTTAATTTTTTTGTATCACGCTATGTTAAATATCTGTACTAACCAATGTCTATTAGTATCTGTATTATGTTTGCTCATTTCCGTTTCCTATAAAATCTGTCACTCTGTCATTCAAGGAAAAATATAATAGTAATATGTTCTTTCTGCAAAAAAATGTGTATTAATAAAAGAATCCAATAGCATCCAAAATATAGTAAGCTCCTATGATAAACAAAATATCAAAAGTCAAAAACAAAAATTTCTAAATAACCGCTTACCTCTAATCTCGGCTATACCAAACATGGCTCTGCACTATTCTAGTTTTTAAATTTATTATTTAACCTCAAATGTAAATCAGCTCATGCGGTAACTCGTTAACATCACGTAGTGCAGTAAAACCAAACTAAAGAGACGACATGCAACGGTATAAGTCCTGCATTTATAGTTGTAAAAACAATTGGTCGCATAATGCAGCGGTACTGCGGACAGAGGGATAGCATACACTTAATGTATGAAAAAGAAATGAAAAAATAGTAAAATTCTATTTTGTAATAAATAAAAAATTCAGACACAGATTATATTTCATTGTTTATTAGCTATAAATAAAGTTTACGTTACATTCAATAATTTTTTGAAAATGTTTTCATTTTAAATTTAAAATTTAAAAGACTAAACCCTGATGTGGCGTGCTGGATGCCGATAGCATCGCTGCCAACGGTACAGGGAACAGCCTACTGACCGAACGACGTTGAACTATACATAACTGCAGCCAAGTTTATGCCGTCCTCGTTTCACACACGTAACGCTCCATTTGTCACTATGTCCTTAGGCTTCTGGCAAACTTCGGTACAACTACGTCGGTCAGATTATCGATGATTCAACTCACGAGTTGTTTGAAACCTTTACAGATAAACTGGCATTCTCTGTATCAGATGTATATTTAATTTAGATACTCACTTGTGCTGCTCGTTAAGCCCTCACAAAATTGAGTACAATGTATACAATTTTAGGTCATGTTGACTTGAAAGAGATCATCCCAGATTTCCAGAATAAAGAAGACAAACCTATCTATCGTTAAACAAGTGTTTATTATTGCTGTTTGCGTTTCAAATACTTTCAATAATTACTATTATTATTAGTATTCTTTTCTTTTTCTATACTCATCAACTATTATGTACCTATTATATTATACATTTGTACATTATATTGCTTAATACCATTAGATTATCATTGTTATTGTTGCTTAAATTAATGAACGAGGTCCCGACCCACCTATAGACACCATAACGTAAATGCCATCACCCACCCAGATTGGTGGTAGGATGTCCAATGATGGTAGGTCTTGTGAGTCCACATGGGTAGTTATCACCACCCCGCCTATTTCTGCTATAAAGCAGTAATGCGTTTCGGTTTGAAGGGTGGACTATACTTGAGACCTTAGAACTTATATCTGAAGGTGGGTGGCGCATTTACGTCGTATATATCTATGTGCTCCAGTAACCACTTAATACCAGGTGGGCTGTGAGCTCGTCGACCCATCTAAGCAATAAAAAAAATACGTTTTTCATTCTATTAGGAATGCGAACAATCAGCAGGAAATTCAGGGACTGCTCTTTCCCAGATAAATCTACTTAATCTATAATACCATATTCTACATAGCAATACAGAAAGCAAATATTTTAAATCAGTACACATACTAAGTACGACTTGCAATAGTAGAAACAGGTCTTTGTTATTCTGTTTAACTAATCTATTGAATTTTGATTGAAAATTAACTTAAATAGATTATTAATACTAACATTAAATTAAATAAATAAGTTAGAATTGTATGAGTATTAAGTTAGCTACTTAATGTTTGTAGATTTCCTAATAAACAGTTAAGTATGGCAGTGAATAGCGTCTTATTATATAACACACCGTATTAAATTACCATACACATGCATTTCCTGGTTACAGCAAAAAAAAACACAATAACTAACCACTGCAGTAGCTGGCTTTAATATTTTATGTAGGATTTAAAATATATAATAGGTACTAAGAGGTAATATTTAATTTTATACAGAGCTTAAAATCTACTGCCTCCGTAGATATTTAGCACTAGAGCTAATATGTGTTTACATATAAATTTGTGTACATACTTAGTCTGGCCATAAATACTGTTACAATTAAAAATAAACAAAATATTACATTTGAATTTGGAACCTGTAATTTTTATATGATTGCTCATTGAGTTTTCTCATTTTGGCGCCAATACATTGTACAATATTTTGCGATATTAAAATGGAGTGGGGTGATAAAGAGAACCGAATCGCTGTGATTGCATTACACAAAGTAGGTATGGAGCCAAATGCAATTTTTAAAACTCTCCACACGCTTAGTATTAGTAAAATGTTTGTGTACCGGGCTATTAATAGGTGCAATGAGACCTCTGTTTGTGACAGAAAAAGATCTGGCCGTCCACGTAGTGTTCGTACGAAAAAGGTGGTCAAAGCAGTAAGGGAAAGAATTCGAAGAAATCCTGCACGAAAGCAAAAAATTTTATCTCGGGAGATGAAGACAGTCTAGAACCATGTCGCGTATTTTAAAAGATGACTTAGGACTTGCAGCCTATAAGAGACGTACTGGTCATTTCTTAACTGATAATTTAAAAGAGAATAGGGTGGTAAAATCGAAACAACTACTGAAGCGGTACGCAAAGGGAGGTCATAGAAAAATTTTGTTTACGGATGAGAAAATTTTTACAATTGAGCAACATTGTAACAAACAAAATGACCGTATTTATGCTCAAAGCTCTAAGCAAGCTTCCCAATTAGTCGACAGAGTGCAACGTGGGCACTATCCAACTTCAGTGATGGTTTGGTGGGGTATTAGCTATGAAGGAGTGACTGAGCCATACTTTTGTGAAAAAGGTATCAAAACATCGGCACAAGTGTATCAAGATACCATTCTTGAGAAGGTAGTGAAGCCCCTTAACAACACCATGTTCAATAATCAAGAATGGTCCTTCCAGCAAGACTCGGCGCCAGGTCATAAAGCTCGGTCTACGNGGGGTATTAGCTATGAAGGAGTGACTGAGCCATACTTTTGTGAAAAAGGTATCAAAACATCGGCACAAGTGTATCAAGATACCATTCTTGAGAAGGTAGTGAAGCCCCTTAACAACACCATGTTCAATAATCAAGAATGGTCCTTCCAGCAAGACTCGGCGCCAGGTCATAAAGCTCGGTCTACGCAGTCTTGGTTGGAAACAAACGTTTCGGACTTCATCAGAGCTGAAGACTGGCCGTCGTCTAGTCCTGATCTTAATCCGCTGGATTATGATTTATGGTCAGTTTTAGAGAGTACGGCTTGCTCTAAACGCCATGATAATTTGGAGTCCCTAAAACAATCCGTACGATTGGCAGTGAAAAATTTTCCCATGGAAAGAGTGCGTGCTTCTATTGATAACTGGCCTCAAAGTTTAAAGGACTGTATTGCAGCCAATGGAGACCACTTCGAATAAGCTTTTTATACTTTAAATTGTTTTATATTTATGTATTAAACCAACACACTGTAAAAGTAAGAAATGTTATTTGCTATAGAAATTTTTTGTTTTTCCTTTGTCTCAGTATTTATATCAAGACTAGGTATATTATACTTAAAATTCGATAGATGATGTGTAGGCAAGCGATTGGTTGTACACATGGCATTGCTGATGTCCATTAGCGGTGGTGACTACCTACCATCATGTGGGCCGTATACTAATAATTGTTATTTCAGAATTATTAAGCTGCATTAGGGAAATAGTTTTTCACTGTTTTTAGACACTCGGGTGATATTAGCAAGCAAAGTAAAATCGAATTTATTTAAAAAAAAGCCTTCGCATCCATTTTATTTCCGTGGACGAAACAGGAAAATGAGGATATCGATTTCGACTCTAACATTTATATTTTTAGCCCGACTATAAATCGCTGATGCCCCTTTCGTTATAAGGACGTTTGAGGGATGAAATGCAATATGAAAACGTTTATTAGAAAAAATATCGAAACCCGTATTACCATTGAACGTTTTTTTTTTTTTTTTTTATGATTGAAAGTTTACTGGTGGCCCGAAGGCCTTTCCAGTTTCACCAGGACATGTGGGCGAGCAAAGGCTCAACCAAGAGGGGTGGGATTTGCTAACAACTGCCCGAGCGCCTCCGAAGGAGACCTAACAACTCAAGAGCAATTGTTTCGCAAATGAATCTACTACCGGATCGGAATCGCGACCCGCTGAGAAGATCCGGCGAGAAACTCAGCGGGCTGATGCATGGGTTATGTTGCACGTCGACCTCTTTGTCGAGTTCGACGAGTACGGTTACCGGGGTCCCTAAGCCTGCCCCTAGTATTAGAGCTGAAGGCATCTAATGCAAAGGTTATTGGATCTGATGGATCCGTAAGGACGTGTCTAGGGCGTCGACGGTGACTGGCTCCTGCATGATCAGGATTCGGGGAGTAGTCAGCGGCGGCAACGATAAGGCGATTATCATGACGCATAGCCTTATCGAAGTATCGTTCCGACGCTGACTTCATGTATTTCCGAATTGATTCGAGGCCCAGGTCGTCGTGTAGGTCAACGTTCCTCACGAACCACGGAGCCCCGACAGCTAACCTGCAAAAGCGGGATTGTAGGGATTGGAGGGTGTCTATGTGTGTGCGGGCCGCGTGAGCGAACACCACACTCGCGTAAGTCATGACGGACCATTGAACGTGCAAGCCACCTTACAACATTGAACACGTTCGTATAATGGTACGTACAAGCGGCCCGCTCCGGCTCCGCTCGGGTCTTTAACAAAAATTTCAACTATATTTGACGTTGTTTTATTTTTTTAAATAAAATAACACTTATTGCGGCATAACTATAATACATATTATTATGCTGTCGCGACACTTTTTGTAAATAATAATGTGTACTATAAGTCGTAGTACATTATTTTATTCTATCATCAATAATTTTCGCAGGGCACGCGATGTAAAGAATATTTTACGTAATTTTTTTACACCTTGGGTTACATTGTTGGAGTTTTAGTAAGGATCCCTAATTTTTTTCAAAAACATTATAACCTATGTCACTCGGAAATAGTGTAGCTTCCAAACAGTGAAAGAATTTTTCAAATCGGTTCAGTAGTTTCGGAGCCTATTCAATACAAACAAACAAACAAACAAATCTTTCCTCTTTATAATATTAGTATTGATAACGCACGCACCGTTAAGATGATGTTCCGGAGCACTTAAGAATGCATCCTGTTTGTGTTGTTTAGTTGGACGGCAGTACACATGCTTGCGTCATGGATCAATGCGGCGGTGGAGTCGGACGTAACATGGCAGAAGCACTATGGAGACTGCGGGGCGGACGTACAAAACTTCTGACCGCCATAGGCGACGATGCCGATGGAAAATACTTAGAAGAGATTGCACCAGGCCTGATACTGAACGGTTTGTTTATATGCTATATTGCTGTTCTAGGCTATGGTATTCTTAGCTTAGCACTAAACATACCATAACCGGTCAAATGACCCATTTTGAACTTTTGCATTGAAAATGCACGTATGATCTTATTGCTTTTGTACGGACTTCATGACTTTTTCTTACCAATTAATCTACAGTTATTATACTATTTTTTTGTTTTGTTTTGTTTATTTTGAGTAATATTTGTCGCTATGATAGAAAAGGTACCAGTAAGTGTTGGTATGATTAGTGTTAGGTAGTAGTATCGAGCAATGCGATTGTGCCTGTGTTCAAATCTTGCAGCTAGCAATTTCTCTAATAAGATATAGAGCCAACCCATGTTCACGAATACATCACGTTATAGTCGGAACAATGGTTTAGAAACACCAAGAATAAATATTTATCCGACACTTCGACCCTCCAGGTGTATTTTGTACTAATTCCCCTATATCCGCTACTCGTGATATTTAAACACCACCTGCATGATTTTAAATTAAGCGTCTATAAAAATCTTAGTCCGGATGTTCATTGTCATTATTATGTCCATTATGTACCTTGCTGGGCCATCGTATCCATAAAGTAAAAATGTGATTCTCCCTTAAATAGCCTCGAAGTCGCATCAATCAAGTTTAATTTTTCTTCAAGTACTTACTTTCAGGAGCTTTCAAGTGCCAAAATGCGCGGACAAGGCCCAAGGCTTACTGGTGGTAGGACCTCTTGTGAGTCCGCGCGGGTGGGTACCACCACCCTGCCTATTTCTGCCGTGAAGCAGTAATGCGTTTCGGTTTGAAGGGTGGACTATACTGAGATCTTTGAACTTATATCTCAAGGTGAGTGGCGCATTTACTTTGTAGATGTCCATGGGCTCCAGTAACCACTTAACAACAGGTGGGATGTGAGTTCGTCCACCCAACTAAGCAATAAAAGAAAAGAAAAAAAGAAACACGCCCCGAGTAAATTTCTAGCTGAGTTTTAAATTATTGAAACTTAGAATCTGTATTTGAAGAGCCAATAAAAATGTCCGTGGAGTTTTACTATTACTACACACTCAGTTAATCTAATTTATAAACAGGATGCGTCGTAAAGAACGGTCGAACACCAACATATGCGGCAGTGATGGATTCCCGGGGAGAATGCCTTCTAGGTCTCGGCGACATGGCATTACACAATGACATCACCGTCGACAGGGTGAGACCTAATTTGTTACGTTAAAATACACGGATCAACACCGTTGGATATTTTTTTAATTAAGGAATTGTAAGCGCTTATTTTCTTTATTCTGAGCAAGCTTAGGCATAGAAGTGACTTATAGACACACTTAAAATTCAATATCAAGCAATGTGACAATGCTGGGACTCAATTCCGGTTATAAAATACCTACCAATTCTCTGAAGTACATACGTAACAGATGTGACTATTTCCACGATAAATATTGAGAAATCAAACTACTAAAAATTGTATAAAGTGCGGTAGGTAATACAAGTGAGAATATTGTAAGCCCGCACGGATAGGTTCCATCAAAATCTCTTATTTTGGCAGTAAAGCAGTAAGACCAGTGGCGTACCTAAGGGGGGGCGGTGGGTGCGGTCCGCACCGGGCGGCACTTAGCCTGGGGCGGCATTTTAGCATTTACTTTTAGTTGTATAAAGCAATTTATTCATTTCATATTTATTTTCTTTCTTGAATAATAAATGATTATTATGATTATTATAAGTTTAATATTTGATTTATATAAATTATGATTAACTACCTATATGATTTCGAATATTATTCATCGGTGTATATAAATGCATATTAGTGTAAATTTTGAATTCAAGAACAAGGTAATAATTTGATTTTATTCTATTCATTAAAATTCTTTGAATTCGTAAAAGTATCTTTTCGATTTTGTTCGGAAATTTTTCCTAACTAAATTTTTTTAATATCAATTTATAAATGTCATTTCTTTTGAAAAGTTTATATGATTACTTTGAAGTAATATATCAATATTTTTTTATTCATCGATTTTTCTTTTGAAAAGCAGGGCCGGCGGAAGGCGGTCTGCTAGGTCTGCAAAGCATTAGGGCGCCGGCATAAGAACTATCTTTTTCAAACAACAAAATCTAAACGAGACAAAACAAAAATACTGACGAAGTTACAATTTCAGAACTCGCAAATAGATAAATATTCTCAGTCCGTTTTGAAGAATTGTATTTGGATTGATAAATTGCACCGCTCATATGCCCGTGTAAACTACCAGTTGACATGGACTTGGCATTATACACGATTTTTCTAGTATGAAAGCTAGAAGAGTAGATATTATATAAATATGTTTACGAGTGCATACAAATAAGTCTAAAAAATTTACTCTGTGTATTAATTAATATTGATTAAATAACTTAATAATTTATTTATGTGTATTAATTTATAAAAACCACTATTTGATTGACTTATAATAGAAAGGGCGGCAGACTGGAGATCGCCCCGGGCGGCAAAAGTTCTAGGTACGCCACTGAGTAAGACATTCCGATTTGAAGGGTATGACTACAGTTATACAATCCAATTGAGACGTATGTGTCAATATAGGCTAGCCATAAAAAATAATTTCAATCATTAAATTTCTGCAGGTTAACAATAATATGACGGTATTAGAAAAGGCTCCACTTGTAGTTCTCGATGGCAACGTCCCACAAATTACTATGGACCATGTCTTAGAGCAATGTCAACGTCTTCGAAAACCTGGTAAGTTTCTAGAACGCTTACTGGTGGTAGGACCTCTTGAGAGTCCGCGCCGGTAGGTACCACCACTGCCTATTTCTGCCGTGAAGCAGTAATGCGTTTCGGTTTGAAGGGCGGGGCAGCCGTTGTAAATATACTGAGACCTTACAACTTATATCTCAAGGTGGGTGGCGCATTTACGTTGTAGATGTCTATGGGCTCCAGTAACCGCTTAACACCAGGTGAGCTGTGAGCTCGTCCACTCATCTAAGCAATAAAAAAAAACGCTCTTGAGACTGTATAGCATAGAAATGAAATAGCATTCATGTGCGAACTTTCCTAGCCTCAAATCGCAATTTCAATTTCTAGCAATTTGTCTGTGCTCGTGCTCTGCAGGTTATTTCTGCTTTCGCAATATAAATGCCCAACAATGTTGAAGAAACGGTGAATAAAATATATATTCAACCACATTCTTTAGATTAAAAAGGAAAAGGAAAACATATTTATCTAAAATAAGTATTTAATATGCTACAAATTTCTGCCACATTAAATAGCATTAAGTGTCATGATTACCCTAAATTTCAAGAAAAACTTTTTAAATACGTTTAAAATATTAAAAAGGAAAATAGATTATAGAATTAAACTGTCCTTAGTAAAATTAAAAAATTGAAACAAATGTTCAATGAGTTTCAATTATCGTACAAAGTACTAAGGCCTCAATATTTCTAAGTACATCTTTTACTTTTGTCTTTATCTTAGTAATCGTTTGGTAAAACTACAAACTGCTTAAAACTATAATTAAATTACATACTAAATGCCAATTAATTCATTTGGACGGATTTTTATTCGGAGATTCTCGTCAGACTTGTAAGAACATTTTTAAGTATTGGACCATTAATGATCTGGATATAATCACAATAAAAATTAAGTAAAAAAATATTATATGTATATAGTGTGATGAATTGTAAATAATATTAACATGACCACTATTATGGTAAATATGTATGATCAATTGTAGACATAAATGTCATGAAACAAACAAGGTCTATGGAAATTTTTGTGACAATTCAATACTCAGTGCAGCTTGTAATGAATAGTGTAAGTGTCGATTTTATTTTTGGTTAGCAATCAAAACCACATCATTTCCACTGACGCTGTTGCTGTTGCTGCAATTGGTCCCGGAGTTGGTTAAGGGTGTGTTCAGGTTGACTATGTTGCATTTGAGCGACAAGATTTTTCGCCTCCAAGCGAAGTTTATATAATTTTCGAAACTCCAAATACAGGAAAATCGATGCCAAACCTGTAATACAACAAAACAAATATATGAGTCGTCTATTATCAAAGGTGGCAATCTGTGCATTTGGACAAAAAAATGTTATTGATATTTCAATACAGATTGATTTGAATATAATCGTCTCCTTCAAAGAATACGGTTCAAAACCTGCATTAAATAAAGGTTAATACTTAACCTGTTATTTATCTAAGATGTCGTTCAGAAGAGTTTTGTGACTGCCAATGNTTTGAATATAATCGTCTCCTTCAAAGAATACGGTTCAAAACCTGCATTAAATAAAGGTTAATACTTAACCTGTTATTTATCTAAGATGTCGTTCAGAAGAGTTTTGTGACTGCCAATGGAATACAAAGTCAATAATTCGTTTTTCTGATTTACCAATAATTGTCCAAAAGTCACATTGCCGGCTTTGATAATAGTCGACTCATATGAACATGGTATTCCCGCCCACTCCATTTGTAAAAATATTAAAGTTTATACATGTCATAGATAATATGAAACTCTCCAAAATTTAATTGGTTTATAGATATCTATGCGACTAGCTTTAGCTTTCTTTAAAAACTGATTCTATAGCTAGGTACTAAAAGTCGAAAGCATAAAAAAATGAGTTGTCGTGGCCTAAAGGATAAGATGTCCGGTACATTCGTATCTAGCGATGCAACGGTGTTCGAATCCCGCGGGCGGGTACCAAATTTTTTAATGAAATACGTAGGAAATTAGAAAATGTTCAGGGTTGACTTGCATGGTGAAGGAATAACATCGTGTAATAAAAATCAAACCCACACAATTATAATTTGCGTAATTACTGGTGGTAGAACCTCTTGTGAGTCCGCACGGGTAGGTACCACCACCCTGCCTATTTCTGCCGTGAAGCAGTAATGCGTTTCGATTTGAAGGGTGGGGCAGCTGTTCTAACTACACCGAGCCCTTAGAACTCATATCTCAAGGTGGGTGGCGGCATTTACGTTGTAGATGCCTATGGGCTCCGATAATCACTTAACACCAGGTAAACTGTGAGCGCGTCCACCCATCTATGAAATAAAAAAATATAAAAAAATCAAAATGTTTTCATAGATCTGATTGTATGCTTATTATGATAATTATAAAACAAACCCAGCTGCTCCCCTAAGAAAAATATACATATTATTAGAGTATATAGGGTATTGTATACAGGAATCAGATTACTAATCACAGAACATATGGCACAAAAGGCACCGGTCTGCCCATGAAGTGTTACTATGTTCGAATAATTACAACAGAAGCTACTTGTCAATCAATTCAGATCTGAACTCCTGATTCCCTCTGGATTATCAAATTTCAATGGTTACAATGAAATATAATATACTCCTATCGAAGATGGGCTGCAAAAAGTTATACACTGCAGCCAATTTTGCTCAACCCTCATTAATAATGATAATATAATAATCATTGATCATGTATGTCCCAAATTCTTGCACAATCATACACCAAGTAAAATACAGTATTTTGCTTTCAATATATGAAATAAATACATACCAAATAATATAAAGGCAATAACCGCAAATGCATAGGACCAAGACAAAACATTGAATGAAGGATACAAGAGCCAGTCACGTCTGTAGCAGTTCCCACCAAATATTGCCGCAGCAAGAAAGAGGAAAGCACCTGTAACATAAGTTTATAACCAATTTTATACACATATGAGGAAAGACATACACAGCATTTTTGCTAAAGTTGCAAATAATTCTGACACATTTTCATTATAGTTTATTTATAATAAGTTATGGCATATTTAGAAATGCAGACATGGTCAAGTGTGGACACAATTCCTTACATGCAACAACCCAATTTTTTTTATATCTAAGGATGTCATAAGTAGGTCAGGATGATTGGACTCTCAGATTGTAAAATAACAGTTGACTTCCTCTTTCACTTCACATGTAATCTCACAAATTCATAGTATCAGTCAATTTTATAATTTTGTAGGTATTCATTTTTTTAGTCATGGTTCTTGCAACATGGAAGTAACATTGTAAACAGTAATGTCCTAATCTAATCATTGCCAGTAAACAGGTTTGTACTAGTGCATAATCACAAATCTACAAATACACTAGCCTTTTACCTACCTATTAAGGTAATAATATTTCCAATCTTTATTCTAGAAAGTTCTAGTAGAAAATGTTCTTGTTTAACTTAAACAAGACATTAATATCTTTGAAGAGTAAGAAGTAAGAAGTTCAGTGAATTCCTTCTCTTCTCTTTATCTTAATTTCAGAATAATTAAATGACTATTTCAAAATTACACATACTGTGACTATTTATTACATAAGAAACTTTTTTCCTATGAAACTAAGGCATTCATCACATGGGTTTTAATATCTTCACTACATAGTATAAGTCGCTTTTTCTGTTTCTATATCCCTATATATGCTTAATGCGGTTTTTTTAATACATAGAATGATTGAAGAGGAAGGTTTATATGTATAATAACATCCATTAAATAGTGGAGAAATTAATAATAAATTACAGTTTCCGAAGCAAAGCAAGGGGGTTGCTAGTATGTTATAATGTATATTTCAAAGAATTCAACAAACAATAAAACTTACTAGAAACTGCTACCATAATGAATGAATAGAACACAAAGATCCATTCATAACGAAGCACAGTCTTCAGTGGCCAACGAACAATGACACATGCCAATAAAACCTGGGCTGCAAATGACAACATCAGCGCAACTGTCACGAAAAACTGCACAGCCATTAACCATCCAGGCAACAGCCAATGCTTGATTGCATAATATTCCTAAAAGCCATGAATATTAATTGTGAAAAGAAGTATTTGTAAGTGGGTACTCATTACTGATTACTCCGAAAAGTAGCTCAATTTCTTAATCAAATATCTTATACTTGTAGTTAATTGAATAAAAAACCAAAACTTTATAATTAAGAAGGAAGGTATTTTAGCAGTTAATTTTTATACTTGCTAACTACATACTTGGCTGTAGATATAGTGACACCCATCAAATTTTTTGTCAAACCGGTAACCAGGGAACCTGAAATTATCAAAGCAATACTCCCACAATCCCATATGTTTGAATGGAGAGAACATTTCTGGATATGATTCCATCCAGTAAGGACCAGCAAATGAAAGGAGGAGAAATAAAGCCCCCACATAGGTGATACTGGCTCCAATGAGCGTAGCATCTGTAACAAATTTTATACTTCAATTAAGAAACATTTTAATGGGTTTTCACAAGTCCTAGACATACGATTTAATCAACTAAAATATTTTAAAATTTAATAGATTTATTAGACCTCTATAGAATTACTTGTACTATATTTCATTTAGCCTTCGCAAATATCGATCCGGGAATAATTCAATATCTTTGTACTTGACAAACTATGTACTTAACGTCTTATACATTGCTCCTAATAGCAGGAATAACAAAAAGAAACTACACTAAGTGATTTGAACTTAAAGTACAGTAAATTAACGTCTGTAAATAAAAGAACTAAGGGCGTGACAACGGAAATTAATACTACTTACTTGATGCTTTAGGATATTCATTATCAGCAGTCATATTTACAGCCACCAATCGAGTATAGTTTAATAAAATACTTGAATTATTGTTTATCAAATACAACTCTCTTTCATAAATGTGTGTACTGTTAATATTATTGCATGTTGGATGTTAATTAATGAATTTGAACTTCTAAGGAGTTTGAATATGTAGGTACCTACCTACTTAGTTTTGTTGTTGTTTTGTTTTTTGCACTTGGACAGGCAAAGGGAATATAGTTCAAGTTATATTTGTAAAAGTTCTTCACTTTAGCACACATATCAAGGACCGATGACAATACAATAATTCAATAATTTTTTCCCATTATCGTAACCAAAAATTTTCAGGATTAGCAATTTCATATATCCGAAAACATTAGTTTTTTGAGCCAAGTTGTTGTTTGGGCTGCGTACATGTATGACCCCACACTTTTTACAAGTTATATTAAGCTTTTTAGTTCAGCTTCAGTACAAGTGATTTTGGGTCCTATAGACTATTATATTTTATTCTAATGAAATATGAACTTAATCCTTAAATTAAATATACATAATAAATATAGCATAATAAATATAAATATAATTTAATATTACTATAACGATTAAAAAATAATAGTGTACAAATCGAAATTAAACACGCAAAATATTTAATTTGTGTAATTATTAAATCATCAGGCATTATTAGCATCCTGCCTTTTTGTGCCACGAAGTAGTAATGCGTTCCGGTTTGAAGGATGAGATAAGTAGCCGTTAAACTAGATCAGATAGAATCAAGTCCCAAGATGGATGTTGGCATTCACATTGTGATCTTTAGATCGTATCTATGCCATGGACCATGAGCTGGTACACTCGTGCAATAAATAAAAATCTATTTATTGGAGAACACACGGTGCGGTACCCTCGGATCGCACTGATCAAGCCAACTTTTCGAAATGAGCCGGAAGATCCAACGACCGCTATCTCGGTTACTTAACTCACACAGCCCGACGAGGTTGATCCCAAGACAAGGTTCTAGCTTATCTAGTCTGGGTCTTATATCGCGAAAACCGACCGCAACAAGGTAACGAATAAAACACTTGGTCAAAATTACCATCTTGCGGAATCCCCGTAGAACTTTTCTACAGTCTTCTACGGCAATCGTTTTAGGGTCGATATTTCAAGTGGTGTTCCCTTATTAATTATGTAATTTGACTTTAGATAGAAGAGGCCCATTTGGATTGTCTATTATCACGATCTCACATATCACTCCAATCTTCTAGCTCTGGATGGAGGGACTTCGTTTCTTTGGGTTTTGTACAAAAGGCTCCTCCCGCAGAATCTATACACCCGCCGGTTACTAAATTTTTTATATAGATGATCATATCATCTCTATTGTATGTAATCAGTTAATCACACTACCCACAACTGGAACAGTTAATTATTAATAGTCTCAGGAACCTGAAACTGTGCTGCTTCACAATCAGTTTCTAGAGATTCCGTTTTTGCTACGTACCATCTGATTTTTTACTTCTTCTGGTCTGGAACTTCCACTTCATAGTGTTTTTTAAACACCATGACATAGCTTTCTTCAAACGAGTATAAAAAATATCCTAAGGTTCAGGTGAGCAACGTACTTGTTGTCTTTGAAGGCAAAAAAGTTTTAAAATTAGATGTTAAAAATAAAAAGATTCGTAGGTTGTTCGTGTACATGGCCTTTAGTAGGTACAATATTCATTTAATTATTTTCTACTAATAATATGACCAGTAAGCATCTAAGAAATGTTTTTGTTTTATAGATATTTCTATATAACAAATTTAATAAAACATAACATATAAAATTAGATTATAAAAATTTGTTCTTGCTTCCGGAGTTCGAAGACCGACACAGTCGCATTGCTCGACCTAAAGATCCCAAGCATTGGTCATCGTTCTCGTCGAACCCGTCGTTTGCGACGAAGGGCTCGGCGAGTAAACTAACCCACAGACACCGCCCACGAAGTTTCTCGCCGAATCTTCTGTGGGTCGATTCCCATCTGGTGGTAGATTCTGCGAAACACTGCTCTTGCTAGGGCTAGTGCTAGTTAGCAAATTCTCTAAGACTGAGCCCGTGAGCTCACATACCCGTCCGGGCGTAGCAGAAATAACTCCTTAGTCCTTAAGCTACTAGAGAATAGGTACTCGCAGTGTATATCGGAACATAGCCATAGATAGAAAAGGGTACCTATAAAAAAATTCAATTAACGAGTAAAACCAGCTTAAAATGAAATACCCAAAATTTTTCTTCGCGCTTTCTTACCATAAATGTACAATTGAGGCCTATAAAATCAAAGGCAGCTAACCGCCTTAATATCATAAAATGGATTAACGATGGCGCCATCTTGTTTAGTTAGTTGGTCACGCTTTAGTGTTTTCATGTTATAACAAGTGGCCTTCGAAGTCGTCGTGACCTAACGGATAAGACGTCCGGTGCATTCGTGTTGAGCGATGCACCGGTGTTCGAATCTCAAGCGGGTACCAATTTTTCTAATGAAATACGTACTCGACAAATTTTAATGTTCACGATTGACTTCCACGGTGAAGGAATAACATCGTGTAATAAAAATGAAACCCGCAAAATTATAATTTGCGTAATTACTAGTGGTAGGACCTCTTGAGTCCGCGCGGGTGGGTACCACCGCCCTGCCTATTTCTGCCGTGTATAATAACCGGCAAACTTCTTGAGCATTTGTTGACGTAGTGGGGGTAAGTTTGCGCATGGTACACTCACGTGCAAAAACATTACTTACTCTGCGTCATAATGCTATTAAATTATTAAAATCAACATATGTATTTATTTATATATTTATTAGAACATCAACAAAACATATAGGTTAATAATTGTAATAATTTAATCTTGGGGTAAAATAGATATTCCTTCTATTAAGTCAAAACTAGAGCTGTTGCCAGGTCTTGGTTCAGTTAAAGCGAAGCTGGTATTTGTAATTTTTTTTTCGTTATCATAATCTTGACCATCATCATCATCACTGTTTTCATCACCCGAGTCGCTATCATCGTGATGAGTCGACATAGGGCTCATCGGCGTAGTTTACAACTCGGTCGATTCGGTCTTCTTTTTTGTCTATAATTAATTATTTTTTGAAGATATTCGATTCGTAGTAATCGAATGTTACTTTTTTCATTTACCAGCTTCCGATTATTTTCTGTTCTTTTTTTCCATCTGAAGCCTAGCTCTTTCATAATTCGTCGTAAGCTTCATTCCGAGCCATTAAAATTTATATCTTCTTTAAATTTTTCGAAGCCTTTCTACGGTACGGAGTTTCGCTGCTTGTTATGTAGTTATTATGATTACATCTTTTTATTACAGATTGAACGAAACTATCCATTCCGGTAACTTTCTTCTTCCCTGATCTTTTCTTACCCGGAGTCCGAAACACGGCGAGCAAGCCAGAGCCTTTAGCTTCGTTAATAATGCACCTAACAGTACTCACTGATGTTTTTGTTGCTTCCGAAGTCTGTTTTAATTTTTCCATATCATTCTTCCCCTGTTTTATAATGAAGCAATATACGTCGTACACAAATTTTCTACCCTTTCTTTTAAGTACTACACCAGTTTGTCACGGCATAGTGTATGTTTTATAAAAAATCAACAAACACTCAACAAATAGCAATGGCAACAAAGTCCACAAGCAATTATAACAAATAACTTAACGATTAATAACGATAGACTTTCCACTGTACGCAAGCGTACTTTTGGGAGCAAGCGGAATGAAGGCGCGGTGCGGGACGAAAGGTTCGACTGATCTACCAATAACGCGCTCGATACGATTTCCCCTGCCGTCGCGCCTCACCCTCACCACCAAAGTGACCTAAAATTCGGTTCTGCGCAGTCAAGGTCATTTGCTCAAGAAGTTTGCCGATTACTATAGCAGTTATGCGTTTCGGTTTGAAGGGTGGGGCAGCCGTTGTAACTATACTAAGACCTTAGAATTTATATCTAAAGATGGGTGACGCATTTACGTCGTAGATGTCTATGGGCTCCAGTAACCACTTAACACCAGGTGGACTGTGAGCTCGTCCACCCATCTAAGCAATAAAAAAACAAGCTAATTCAGTTCAAAAATTTTATTTTTACTCTGTACTCAAATATAAACGAAGTTTTATCATTTAAAATTCAGATTACATATTAGTAATATTTTAATTTTTTATAAATCTGCTTTAAAATAAAGAATATCGTAGCTACCCGAACAAAGTTATTTCAGCTTCTCAAGCCGAAAGTATTGCTAACACTGGCCTTAGCAAGAGCAAGCAGTACTTCGATGATCGCGAGGATCCGTGACGACATGTTTAAGGCCGATTTTAGTAGTTTACCTGAATATTTGACAGACTTGGATTTAGCTGACTTTGATTTTATAGGCATCTAATTGTTTTTATTTTAAAAGAAGGAATTAATCAATATTTTTAAAGTAAAAATAAAGCAAATCATTTTTTCTAAATTTTATTATTTATTCTTCAAAACCATAAGTTCATTATTTATAACAAAAATATAACGGGAAATTTTGTTTCCACAAAAATAGAATGGGTAGTGTTAGATCTTCACTCTTTGACACCTTTTCACATATTTTTGTTAGTCTCTCAAATTATTTGGCTGGAGTTTTGTTATTTTTAACAGATCTTTATCATGAGGTATTATTCATTATATTATTTATTGACGTTGTGATTATGTAAAACAAGGTTCTAATAAATGTTTTCTTCTTTTAAAAAAGTAAGTGTTAAGCCTATTCGATATATATATTTTACATAAAAACTGGAAATACCCACTTTAGCAGCAGTATGAAGAAAAAAAGTTCCGTTTTTATATAAACATCATAATAATATCTAATAACTATACTAAAAATTAATGGACGGTGTATAGTTATAATTCATTGGCCCTTCAACGATTCAACCTTAACGAGTAAGATATCTAAACCTTAAATCTAATACATGGAATATGAAGTTACACTTAAAGGGGAAAGAATCTACACAAATTTGCTAATGGTCATTTCAATTATTAAATAACGATAACAATATTTTTAGATAAAGCAGGTTCAAATTTGTACAAGCCTTATGATTGTATTAAGTCAATCCTGTTATACGCAAACCATAGCATATATAATAGCAGATCATAACTTTGATAAAAAAACACCAAATATATATACCAAATACCTATATTTTACATGTAGTTTCCCCTAGTAGTCTAATTAATATCGAACTTATTCTTAATATATTTTGAATGTAAACACGTATATTGTTTATATTCTTTCAGCGTTTACAAATAAGGGAAAAAAGGACGGATGCTCAAACAGTCTTTGTCAGTCAATGAGTTTGCACCATTAAAATTTATTAACTAAAAATCCATAGTTATTGTTTGAATTTCTGAAGTCTTTTGCCATGTGATAGTAAAGTGATAGTAAACTTCTGACCACAGCTTTACAATATGTTTTGTACATTGGCTGTTTTTATTTTTGGTTAATAATTTTTTTTTTGTGCATGATATCTAGAGATACTACATAGTTTTTTTTGTGTATAAACTATTACATGTACTTAAATACAATGATTGCGTATCGTGAAAAGCTTAAATGTTTAAAGCTACTTTATTGCAAGAGCAATTATTTATAACAATATACAAAAGCTCTAGAGATTCACTTTAAACTTACTTACTAATAATATTAAAATATTTGTGGCGAACAGTGCATTTTTTTTAATAGCATTATCTTATATTTTATTAACACTAATATAAAAGTATATTAAAAAATTATGGTTTAACCCGGAGGTTCCCATTTAATAGACACTAGATTATGTTTTTTTGATAACGCCATCTTGTTGTCTTTAAGTCGGTTAGTTGCCCTCAATTAAGAAAAATAGTAGGTATTATTATTCGCCAATAGATGTCGGGAAGAGTTGATTATTGAAAACACGAATAAAACAACATTTTCTGAAAATAAATAGTAGCTAGATCGATTTATCGCCCCCGAAATCCCCTGTATACTAAATTTTATGAAAATCGTTGGAGCCGTTTCCGAGATTCAGATTATATATATATGTATTAATATACAAGAATTGCTCGTTTAAAGTTATGAGATTAGACAGCATACGAAATATTTCCTCAATTCCATTTTTTCGGGAGGTATTTAAATGATAAATTAACGCAAATACCTGTGCAAAAGTATTACAAAAGTAGCATCTATTTTAAGTATAAATTTAAAAATATCCAAAAACATCTAAAAACGTATGATTATTAATGTTACAGATTTAAAGCGATTTTACGCTGACGACCAAAGTTATTTAAATTTAATACTTGTGAGATATTTTAAATTAAACGGAATGATACCTACAGTTACCGTTGAAATTCAAATACCATTATTTACATTTACAAAATACATAATTGAATTTAAAATACAATATTATCATATCGCCTACATATCAATAATAGCATTGAGTTTCAAGAAATAACTGTCAAAAACAGATCAGTAAGTAGGTAGCCGCTATTCTATAGAACTGGCACAAATGAACACATTATAATATATGTAAATATAAAATATCTGTGCTTCTATTCTATATTTAACTTACACGGTAACCTATTTTTTTTTTCTTTTTTCAATGCACTGGTATCTGATGTTGCACTTACTTAATATATATTGGAGCGCGGGCCTGCAGTTTCGTGTGAGCCGATGCGTTTCTCTGGAACGTCGAAAATATTTTACATTTAATCTCATTTCTGTAAAAACACGCAATGTTACGCAATATTTAAATAATTTTGTTTTTTTTTTTATTGCTTAAATGGGTGGACGAGCTCACAGCCCACCTGGTGTTAAGTGGTTACTGGAGCCCATAGACATCTACAACGTAAGTGCGCCACACACCTCGAGATATAAGTTCTAAGGTCTCAGTATAGTTACAACGGCTACCCCACCCTTCGAACCGAAACGCATTACTGCTTCACGGCGGAAATAGGCGGGGTGGTGGTACCTACCCGGGCGGACTCCCAAGAGGTCCTACCACCAGTGAATTATTTGTTAAATAATTTAGAAAAAAATTGTTATAAAAGAGCGACTTCGTTTCGCTTTCAAAGTAAGATACAAACAAAGCGAACACAGCTTCAACAGACTGTTAGCCTTATTAACCTTAATCAGCTCGGTTTGGTTCGTTAAGCCTTTGATTCGTATTCCATTTCGAAGCGCGCTTGTGACTCTTTTAGTTTATTGCGTTTCTTACGTTGGATATTAGCTTCGGTCAAAAACAAAGCGGAAGCAACAATACACGCTATAGCGCCGACCACGCCCAATCCGAATGACCATCCTGAAATAACGACAATTGTTCATATACTACAATTACTATACTATATTATTATACTACATATTCACTTTTTAAACAACATTATTATTGAAATAATTATGATTATTAATTAAAGTTACCTAAATAGTTGTTGGGATGATCTGGCATCCACCCATCGGTGTTACCCAAACATGCAAATACTATAACAGCAATTGCACCACTTATTCCTGCGGAGAGAAATCATTTTCATTTCATAAACAATAATATCCATTGAAAGAATTAAGAGTTTATATAGATTTTCAAGGTATAAGTAGTAAATAAATTATGTTTTTTTTTCGTTTAATTAATTCGCGTATTACCCAAAGTATTACACATATTTACTTCTTTCAAAGTAATTTCCGATGAAAGTTGATAGTTTGAAAATTTATAGCATTTTTCCAGAATTTCTGATTTAGTTAAGAATTTTTTTGCCCCGTCATAAAAATAGCTGTTCGTAATTTTTATCCATTTACTTACCAGCACCCAACATAATGAATCCAATGCTTTTGATCAATAAGATGAATCTGCTTTGGTCGGGTCCACAGCAAAGAAAGAATATCAATACCAATATGGTACTTATCAACACTCCGAGGAGGCACAATGTGAAGAAGAATTGAGTTGCTATCATAAATCCTTAAATAAAATCAAGAAATAGGTACTTTAAGTTTAAATAAAGACCACAAAAAGAACTGTTGGCCAAATTACAAGCAATATAGTATCATAACTATTTAAATATTATCTTTTTTGACAAACCAAAAAATGCGTTGCAAACATAATTAGAACAGAAAACTGAGACGGTAGTATTACTAAACAAGCATTTCCAAACCAGCATTAAAAATTTTTTTACGGAATTAACATGGAAGCGGATAGATTGCACAGCCTTAACAAATATAACATTTTATTATCGATAATATAATCACCTGGTAACAAATAGCCTCGAATCTTATCATACCCTGTAGTAAACGGGTCATAGACCCAACGACAACCCACGAAAAACCGTCTCTGGTGCTGATCTAATGGATCTGGCAGTGATCTGAAGCAGTAGTTCCATAATCCAAGCCTGCAAAACATTCGATGCGACATCATCATATGTATATTATTTCAAATAGGTACCTACTAATTTAAAAAAAGATACGAAATCTATGAAACATTATAGTTTTTTTGCAATAAAGCCTAATTACCTGTCCAATCTTGCACTCCTTATTCTAGAGTCGCTAACCAACCAACTCGGTGTGCCGAAAGCCAAGGCGACTGTGACAAGGGCAATAACAAAAACGCCAATGCCACAATTACCGGCCAAACTTCTATTCTTCATGATGCCTGTGACAAATTTCAATGCATAATACTATAGAACTGTAGAAAATTTTAAGGTTTTTTAATGTTTATTAAATTTTAAGTGTGATATTGTGTGAACAGAGTTACGAATAGATATTGAAATAAATACTGGTGGTAGGACCTCTTGGGAGTCCGCACGGGTAGGTACCACCACCCCGCCTATTTCCGCCGTGAAGCAGTAATACGTTTCTGTTCGAAGGGTGGGGTAGCCGTTGTCACTATACTGAGACCTTAGAACTTATATCTCAAGGTCGGTGGCGCATTTACGTTGTAGATGTCTATGGGCTCCAGTAACCACTTAACACCAGGTGGGCTGTGATGTCGTCCACCAATCTAAGCAATAAAAAAAAAAAATAGGTAACTAATTTTATAATATATGATTTGCAATGTTCCACTGGGTAAACAACGACTTAGTTTTCATTGTAACTAGAACTGAGTACCTATTTATCCTTGACGATTAGCATTAGTTCAACGTCTGCTACCATTAAACAGTGCTAAGGAACTTTATAAGGCAACGGCATTTCACACAAAGCAAAGCTCTTTTAAGATTACCGGACTACGGATACGTTAATGTTTCGCAATATACGACGTGCACGCGTGTGAGTTACATAGAACAGAACATTCACCAAGAAATACAATGCCGATAAGTTCACACGGATTACTCACTGTGGGAAAACATTGAAGATTAATTACTATAACTATTATTATTTTTTCGAATTCATAATACATTTATAACTTTGGCTGAAATTAACGAATTTAAATGAACTTTGTGGCGATTGCTCTCGTAATTCTACCCACCCGAATTAACTTGAAACAAATAATATGAACCTTGAAATGTAATAATAATTCTCACGCAATTCTACTTTTTTTTAAATATGAAATCTGAAATACGCGAATACTCACGCGCTACCTAATAGAGGTCCGTTGTTGATATGAGAATAGCCGTAACTAAATACTTAACTTGTAACTATACTGAGACCTTAGAACTCATGTCTCAAGGTGGGTGGCGGCATTTACGTTGTAGACGTTTATGGGCTCCGGTAACCACTTAACATCAGGTGGGCCGTGAGCTCGTCCACCCATCTAAGCAATAGAAAAAAAATTAAAAAAAAAAGGCCGTCCCTGAAATTTCAACTACTCTATTGCCTATGTTTCAAACAGATAAAAGACACACGAGCACATGTAACAAAGGCACAATATACAAACTCTTTTTCGGTATATTTTCCATATTACATAATTCTGATTACACATATTATTCTATCATAGATATTCATAGATATTTCAAATTATATTTTTTTATCAAATCACACCCTGCAATAATTAGAATAGGTACTAATTATTATTTTCGAAAAAAACAGAAATACAAGAAAATGAAAAATGTCAGGATTTTTGTTTTTGCCATTATTAGTGTAATTTGTGATCCTGGACACATCTGAAGATGTACAGCTGTGGTGCAGTGTATATTAATAATGAAACGGACTTCTGTATTCACATCCACTTATCTAAGTACACATATTATGATTCTTGGTGATTACAACACTTATCAAAGTTGGTTTAGATACAAAATCTCCATGCTTCTGGCTTGAACTATCTACAATGCTACTTTGCCTTGCAACTCAGTATATTGCAATAATAAGATACTAGTACATTCTACATCCAAACCATAGTTTCTTTCAATATTGTAGTAGATATGCATACTTGAATTATCAGAGTACCCAGCAATATCTAGCAGATTGGCTGTTCTGGCATGACCTGAGCAATGCTAACCATACAATATCAGGTGGTGGCATACTTATCTTGCCTACCTTGACAATAAAAATTAATAAAAAAGGTACATTCTGGCCAGCAACAGAAAAGTAACTCACGTGTTGGGACTATAGGAAGTCAGACTGAAAACTGAAAACTTTTGTTGCTTCACACTCGATGTTTTATAACCCCACACAAGTTACCTTGTTTCATCATTGTATTATATTTAAGTAATAAAACATAATGACACTATTAGTAGTTCTAATGTTAGTCTTACAACTTCAAATACAATGACACTATTAAAACTTTGACTTCACACTTTTCCCGAAGAGTAAACAGGAACAAAAAAAATTTTTCCTATTCAAAAAACTTTGTTTGTTTTCAGTAAAAGCCCTAACATATCCTGCTAAATTTATGAGTAATAAATGACTATAACTTATAGACATACTAAGAAAGCCAAAGATCTCAATTTTTTTACATTTCTTAAGAACTGGTGGATAAGCTCAACATTTACAAAAAATAAATTAGAATATTGGAGTTTAAATTGAACCCCTCGATATAGAATACATAAATGTTGAGAAACAGCAATATAATAACAACCACCTTGGAACAAACTCTATTTAAATAAGAATAGTGGTGATTGGTGTAAAAAGAGATGAGGATATTGCCACTCCAAACCAATTATAGAGCAGTAGCGCAACATTCACTAAATCAGCTATGGAATCCTAAAAAATAATAATGCTTTATTTATTTAAACTTAAAAGTACCGCCACTGTACCTTTATCCAAATCCAACTCACTTTAAACAATAATTCCATCAAAATGAACATCAAAATAATATAATAGATTTTGGAGTGATCAATTTAATATAATTATCACTCGTGTAAATGTTAACAATTATAAATTAGAGATATTTGTTTGTATAGTTGAAATTTAACTTCTTTAAACTAGCATTTCAATACATACATACACATATTATGACACTGGTAAAGAAGTAAGCTAAGGCTGCCCATTTTTCACTAAATTAATATCAAAAATTATTTTTTCCTTAAACATACACTAAGCTTTCCATAAAATTTACTTTCATTAAATGCAAAAAAATAAAACCCTTGATTTATAGAAATATACCTGTTCAAATATGAAGACAGTATTTTTAAAGTTTGTAACAAACGACGACAGATAGTTATTCAAGGAAACGCCTATTTTAAGTACCACTTACCGTTTCGACGTTATTTTTGTATTTTGTGTGCTGAAATGTAACTTTTGAATGTCATAAACACTTGATTAAAATTATATGAATTGGACTTGACAGCAAATAAAAGTAATTTATCACATTAGCTGAAAATCCGATCCTTTGATTACAATCACTTTACGGTGTAAGGCATAGTACACATAATATTTGAGAGTGTTCTGGTAGGTAGGCAGTGTGACCATCTTAAAACTATAGATCATGCCATACTTTAGTTGAAAACCTGCCAAATCCTGCCAACATCTGTAGTAAAAAATGCCTAATTAATGCCAACTTTATGAACCGTTATAACAAACCAAGAATAGTAAAAATAGGAGTTGTTGGCAGGAACTCAAAGGGGATGTTGTGCTATGCAGCTTTATTTTCTAACAATGTGCAAAATTACTCTAAAATGAACAATATTGAAGTATAGGTAATATATTAATGGTTTTTGAGTATTAGTTACATAATAATATGTGTTTATGTGAGAAATGTATAATATAAGCTATATTTTTATAAAATTAAACATTGCAATTAGCGTCATATTTTTCATCTTCTTCATCTTTATATATGTTATTCAGTCTACTTAACATATCTTTGGTTGGTTTAAATGCAATGCAATCTTCATGCTCACCAATACCTTGTTTAACATGCAAGATAGACGCTACATGGTTGTTTATAAATCTGTTGCGCGTTTTCGTTTTAATTAAATTTATTTGAGAGAATAATCTTTCGCACGTAGCATTAGACATTGGTAAACATAGCAGTACCTTTGCGAAATTTGCAATATTTACGTATTTTAAGTGCCCACTGGAATTCCGCATTTTCCCGATAGCATCCCAAAAGCTGTCAACACTTAGAGCACAATTTGAATTATTGCTACCACCAGATTCTAATAAATTACTTACGTACTGCTTTGTCTATTTCAAATTTTTTCATCAGCAAGATTAGGGAATTCATTTATAATATTTGATATATATCTATATACTTTTATTGCTTTGATGGGTGGACGAGCTCACAGCCCACCTGGTTTTAAGTGGTTACTGTAGCCCATAGACATCTACAACGTAAATGCGCCACTCACCTTGAGATATAAGTTCTAAGTTCTCAGTATTGTTATAACGGCTGCCCCACGGGTCCCACCCTTCAAACTGAAACGCATTACTGCTTAAGGCAGAAATAGGCGGGGTGGTGGTACCTACCCGTGTGAACTCACAAGAGGGCCTTACTACCAGTAATTACGCAAATTATAATTTTGCGGGTTTCATTTTTATTACACGATGTTATTCCTTCACCAGGGAAGTCAATCGTGAACATTTGTAAATATATTAAATTTCCTAACTCAGCCTACTTGAATCAGCTAACAACTGATCAATTCATATCATACCCTGTGCCTATGCTAGTGTCATTCTGGAGGATTTTTGAACTATTATTTAGAGCTGAAAGTGGGACACTTTTTCAAGCTTCTCCCATATGAGACGGTTCGCCTTACATCTACCCTCCATAAAGTGGAGCCATTAAAAATTGTATTAACAACCATAGATAATACACATAAACTAGTTAAGGTGGAAACACATTATAAAACGCGACGTGACGCAACGTGTCGACATCCGATATGCACCGTGCACATTACCAATACGCGACGCCACGATATAGTAGCAATTTATGAAAACAGTTAGCTAACAGCAGTGGAAGTGTATGGTTATGTACTATGGATTTAATAAAATATAATGAATCAGAAGAAGATTTGACGAAAATTTTGGGTACATATATGATACTTAAACGACGACGAATTTCTTCCCATGCATTATTTCTCATTATATGATCCCTGTATATAGCTAAATTCATGTCATATAGAACAGGATATCGTTTTACCAACTCAATTAACTGTACGTCGGTCATATCAAATGCTAAACGCTAAATAAATGCAAAAAAATAATATTAAATAGGCATAAATTCTGTTTGAAGGGTTAAAGAATGCATATATGCTCTATGACAGTTTTTGACTGATGTTCGGTGTTGTCTAGAATCTAAACATACCGCGTACTACGCGTCGGATTGCGTGTTTACCCCCACCATGGACAACACACCGACCTGGCACGTCTGGATCGGGTGGCGTGTGCACGCATGGCGCCGCGTCAGATGTTTATAATGTGATTTTGATCTATAGAAAACAATACGTTTGATTCTACTCAACACGCATCGCGTTTCATCGGGTCGCGTCGCGTTTTAATAGTGTGTTTCCACCTTTATAGATAAGCAGCTCAAACACTCAACAATAATGCTTTCGGGCGTTGGCCACTAGGTGGCTTCGCTTCAAATAGTTTCCCATTGCTCCTGTAGATGGCAGTAACCTATCCTATATTTTATTTTTAATAAAGGATTTTGTAAATTTTCAGAAACCACAAATTAATAAAATTTAATCAATTTGTCTATAACAAATAAAGACGTGTATAATTTATTGTTTTTTTTAATTTCTGTGTTTAGTTATGCAATAATCAAATGCCTTAACTTTAACAACATATAAGTTTAGGGGCATTCGCTACAAGATATCGCTAGTTTCAGTACTAGTAAAAAAAAGATCAAAATAATTTAAATAAAAACTTTGCTAATTAAAATATTCACTAAAAATTTATTTCCTGTAATCTAACCTATCCCTCAAAAAAGTTTTACTATTCATAATAAAAATAACAACTAGGAACAAATCACGCACAGTCAATTTAAGATTCCTTGTGGTACGGATACCTTCTTCTTGCTTCGTTTTCCTCAATACTGAGGGTCGTGACCACCTCCTCGCAACAAGAGTTTATTACGGACCATTCCACGCCATTTGCCACTATCTGCCGCCGAGTATAGAGCATCGTAAGTTGTGGTGTCGAGGGTAGTGCTGATCTGGTCAGTCCAACGATAAACATACTTACATATGTTTTAATATATACATAGATGGATAGTAAGCACGCCAAATAGCAAACAAACCTGTTCACCATACCATGTTTGCCCGATACCTACCTATGGGAATTGAACCTCGATCCTCAGCACATGGATGACGGAGAGTTTGCCAGCTCTTGTAGCTTAGAGACTATATATTAAGCATTATTAAGCACTATACGATTGTTCGTTGTAATGCAGAAGCTGCATGTACTTTTGAAGTTTAGGCAAGGACCACACTCTATTTACATATAAAAAGTGTCCGACAAAAAACGAACAATTAATAAGAGTGACGCCCCAAGTAGCAAGAGGTTTTTTTTTTCAAAGATAGTGTCAAAAGGTACCATACTATGTATATCAAACTATGCTAGGTACAGTATATTAACTCATGTTCGAACCTCGGATGAGATAGAGCTCTGGCGAGACAGATACGTCTTTGGCGCAGAGCGGATCTCTTCCGGCCATGCTAACCCCATGCCACTTTAAATCTCTTGGTCAACGGGCTACCCGAAGCTCGCTAATATAGCGCTATTTGTAACCCACGGACACTGTATTGGGTCAGGACTGGCTAGAGTTAGAAAGCACGGTCTTCCTGCAACACTCTCGAAGTTTGATTTTAACTTGCAATATTAACAAATTTATTTTTAACTTGCAATAGAGCCGCTCACATTTTCTCTTGGGTTTCCTTTGCTGGACCCTCCAATCGCTAACCGATAACACTTCGGGGAAATCTCTATCGTGGCGCCGTCTCGACAACAATGGGTTGACACCATCGATCGTACGATCTACGATCGATGGTTGACACAAAGAGAAGAGTGTTCTGCTTCTGTAAGATGTAATATTGCCTTAATACAGGATGAGCGATAAATTCACATGCCCAGCTACAGCAATAAATAAAAAAGGTATTTTTTTCCAGTGTTTTTCGAGCCGACCGACCGAAGGAAAGCAACAAAAATCCTTCAAAACAATGAGAACACGGTGGCTTTCTCCAGTCCGAATGTTGCGGAATTAAAAGCTATGGCTACCTTTCTAGAGCCGAATTTACGAGGCCCTTTAACTTCAGATTTAGAAGAAATTAAATTACTTTCAAAAATTGTGGCCAAAAGGGTACAATATTTGATAGTTACTGCTGGATCTAAAGGTGTATTTATTGTAAATAAAAATATAACAAAGGAACCATTAATAAGCCACTTTCCAGTTGATTACATACAAAATGTTGAGAATGTTTCTGGTGCTGGTGATTGTTTTTCTAGTGGTTTTGTACTAGGTGTTCTACTAGGATTAAGGAAATCTTTGTGTATCCGCATTGCTTTTGAAACGGCAAAAGCTGCCTTACTCTGTAAAAAAACAGTCCCACAAAATTTAAATGTACGACTAGTCTACCCAAAATCCATTAAATAAAGATGACTACTAATAATTGCAACAAAAGAATTACGAATCTTGTTCTCAATTCTTTAAAATTACAAAATGACTTTATTGATATGATGATCTAAACTATCTAATATATAACATGTATACATGTAAATGTCAATGAATCTCAATAATATAAGAATAATTTAGTTTATCTATATTTTGTAAATTCGCTGAATATTTTATTAAACAACAATCTTATACTTAATATTATAAAGCTGAAGAATTCGTTTGTTTGTTTGAACGCGCTAATCTTAGGAACTACTGGTTCGTTTTGAAAAATTCTTCAGTGTTAGATAGCCCATTTATCGAGGTAGGCTATATAACATCACGCTAAGACCAATGCAAGCGGAGCACCAATAAAGAATGTTTCAAAATCGGCGTTTTTGAAGTGAAACTTCCTTATCGGCGTTGGAAAAAAATTTACCGTCACATTTTTCGGTTACGCGTCACATTTTTCCGTTACGCGCCATCTGTTTTGTATTCATGTCTATGATAATAAAATCCTTTTGTTTAAACTTTATCTAATTTATTTTTTTGAAGTGAAACTTCCTTATCGGCGTTGGAAAAAAATTTACCGTCACATTTTTCGGTTACGCGTCACTTTTTTCCGTTACGCGCCATCTGTTTTGTATTCATGTCTATGATAATAAAATCCTTTTGTTTAAACTTTATCTAATTTAACTTTTTTGTATTCATGTCTATGATAATAAAATCCTTTTGTTTAAACTTTATCTAATTTAACTTTATTTAACCAATTTCTAGAAAGTTGCATGTAGATCATTTTTCGAAAAATAAGGCCATAAAGAAGTTTCACTTCTTACGTGTGTACACTAGTACACGCACACATTTTTTTTTTTCCTTTTGAGAGCTTCCACTGCGTGCGCTGCGGAAATGGTTAAAGTTTCGCTAAATTAATGTATGAGAGAATTGTTCCCCTTTAAAAGATCTAAAAAAAAGTCCGCGGCAGCATATGTCTATAAGTATGTTAAGGTTGGCTCACTATTACCTTTTCTTATGCTATCCAAATTTGTTCTAAAATAAAGCATTTTTTGTGAAGGTGTTTTTATAAAGATGATATTAATCCCTATCCAAATACGTTATTCATTACAACATTGAAAAACCCAAAATACTTCAAGATAGGCTTGGACAATTATAGATTTTTCTGGATTTCTCCAGGATCCCATCATCAATCTTTTTTTTTTGCTTAGATGGGTGGACGAGCCCACAGCCAACCTGGTGTTAAGTTGTTACTGGATCCCATAGACATCATACAACGTAAATGCGCCACCTACCTTGAGATATAAGTTTTAAGGTCTCAAGTATAGTAACAACGGCTGCCCCACCCTTCAAGCCGAAACGCATTACTGCTTCACAGCAGAAATAGGCAGGGTGGTGGTACCTACCGGCGCGGACTCACAAGAGGTCCTATCACCAGTAATAAAGATCTTGATGAAAACAGGACCATTCGGGAATTCTACTCTTTCGAACAAAAAAAAAGAAAAAAGAATTATCAGAATCGATTCAAGCATTCTCGAGAAATCGGTGAACATACATGGATAAAAAAATATGGTCGAATTGATAACTTCCTCTTATGAAGTAGGTTAAAAGGCCTGCTTTTGATACCTTAAATAGCTCCTAAACATTCTATTATTGAAAAATATTTTCACTTTCTACGTGTAAATGAAGAGGCGAGTAAAATTTTGCGTTATGCCAAAGTAACTCTTCCACGCGGACGAAGTCGCGGGAAAAAGCTAGTTACATAATAAAACTTTTACAAAGAAATATTACTCAGAAATTTATTTAGTCCTAATGCTTGTTTACCTGTCTACAATTTTATTGTTTTATGGGACGTAAAAATATTAAAAATTAAATACAACACATACAAAATCATTTATTTATATTTAGAATCTTTTTTCATTGATAACACTAAAAAAATTATATTATTCGTATGTATGTAGACTGAAAAACGAGTAACATAAAAAAAATGGTGCATGCGCACTTGGTGCACATGAAAAAAGTGAAACTTCTGTTGCGGTCTGTAGTATTGTGATTTTCTTTATTTTTCATCCTTAAATCAAATTTCTCTTGTAATATGAAGTGCTATGTATAAGAAAAACTAGCTCGCTGTATATTTTTTCTCTCGCTCTTCCTAAATTGTATATTTTCTGTCTAGCCGTAACAAATCTGTCGCGAGTTAAATTTTACTCTCAAACACGCCTAAAGAAGTTTCAGTTCGAGATATTTAAAAACATTGTATATACAAAAGCAAGTTAACATATTAAATCTTACTAAACTTTTCTTCGAGCTTACCCACAAATCGAGTAAAATGGGATATACAAAATCTGTATCATTATAGAAATGTTATATTTGTGCTTAGTACCCCTTACACATTTTGTAGATTCATACCTAAGTGTATAAAATAAAAATAATCTTTAAGCGACACACAGTTTACACTCACAATACCTACACTAACAGTTATACTCAAATAGGCAACCTATTTATCAGTTTTTATTCGTTTTACCCTTATTATCAGTTTTTTTAACTCTTACATTTATTTATACAATATATATTTGAAAATATAAAAAAAATACAGGAATGCAGAGAATGAATGAGTTTCGTCAATGCAGGTCAATTGACGAAACTCATTCATACGCCTTACATAATAACTTTATTACCTATACTATGATGATGCAGTTGTGAGATTCCTACACATGCTCAGGTATTTTCATAATTATATTCATTCAGACATGATTTTTTGTTTCAACAAATTCCAGATAACTTCGTGCTGCTGAAAGCTAATTAAGAGGTAAACTAAAACTGAGGTAGAATGTTAGGAGCCAAATAAACCTGTCTACCTTAAATCTAAACAATTTTCTCAGTGTTACCAATTGACAAATTCTATGATTACTTACAATATAAAAAACATCACCTTTCTGTGCTGTATACTGATATTTCTACCAGAAAATTGTTATAACTAAGCTGTGGTAAGAACCAGTTTAATAATATTTAAAAAATGTTTATCATACTCTACACTCTTATGAAGAAATATTTTATTAGCTTTAGTAGATTAAAAAGAATAAGGTGGTATCATTTCAGTAGATAGCTTGGTTGCCCCATCAAGTCGGCCTCAGACTTGTCTATAAATACTGGCAACCCAGTGGATTTGAATTTAATAGTTTTGTATATAAACGACAACCTAACTTACAATTACTTTTACATTGATGAGTTTCACAAAATGGACGGATTACATTTAATTAATATTACAATATCTTTAAATATCAGTGTGTCCTCTGGTATAACCAAGGTTCCTTTCATGCATATTGTAAGCAGATGGCTCACGACTCTGCATCTCATGCAGTTTTTTGTATTTGTGTACTCTGGCTACAATTAAAAACAGTATACCAGCAGGAAACAGTGATATTACACCCACAACTCCAAGAGCATAAGCCCAACCCAGGTCATTATTCTGCCAATGGGGCATCCAATCACGCCCATCACCTCTGGCTCCAAATGTCACAACTGATATGATTCCAGAAAAGCCTGAAAAGTACACAAATTGATTTTATTCTTCTCTCTTTATTATTAATATTAATTATTATCAGAAGCTTACTTTCATTGCTAAATTCATTTTACAGCTTACTCCTTACATATTATTTGCCTTTGTTTCTTTAATTCCCAAAGACTAATATAGATAATAATTATGACACAAGATCAATTAAAATTGGATTTCTAAACATAATATACTGACTGCAACTAATATTTTTGCACTGCATTCAATGTACAGTGGGCTAAATGATTTGAAGGGTGCAGAGCAGCCATTGTAAAAAACTGCTTAGAACTCATGTCTCATGGCTTGGGAGGGAGAATTGGTTTTGTCGATTTTATGGGCTCTGGTAATTACCTGAGATTCATTTTGTAAATATTTTAATTGAATATTGTATTTATAGTTAATATTAATATTCAAAATTAAAAAATTGTTAATCAATACTAACCTCCGATCACTAACACAGTTCCTAAAGTTACCAAAAGTGTCAAATAGTCATCATCATCCTTGTCCTTCTTTAAATAAAGAAAAACCAAAAACATCGAAAGCAGAACACAACACAATGTTATGGTGAAGAAGAACTGTGTTGCAATGAAAAAACCAGGCAATAAAATATCATGTATAATATAGAATTCTTCTTCAAATATCCACCAGCAGCTGTTAAAGACGGTATCGTACCAGTGATGAACGTCTTCGAATTTGTTGAAACATACTTCCCACAAACCTGAAATTATCACAAGGCAGTATTATGAGTTTGTTATTTTACAGTCAAACCTGGCGTTAATGATATTGATGTTAATAAACAAAGATTTTTCCGTTTACGTTTACGTACGTACGATTCTTACCTATTTTCAGAAACTTTGAATCCTTTAGCTTCCCATCAGTTACCAACCAATATGGACTTCCAAATGCTATTATAATAAAAAGAGCTGCGAATGCGAAAAATCCCAAAGCAAAGTAGCCGGTCTTAGATTTCGTCATTTTAAAAACTACAAAAATTTATTAAATTTTTTAAATAAGTTTAGACTAGTTTGAAAATATCAACAAACTACACGCCCTACCACAGATAATACATTAAGCCAACATTATGCATCAAATATTAAATCTATGATATCAAATAATTTTTTTACAGCGTATAATTAGACAGGCATAGGGAATTAAGCCCACAAACTATAACTTACACTAAATAAAAAGTTTATAGCATGTAAGCTCATGTATAGTCTCATATTTTTGTCGTCCAGTCTACCTATTATTAATCATTTTAATCATACTTTTTCTTTTGTTTTAGAATAATGGAAACTATAAAAGATTACTACGACCTACATGGACATTTTTATACATGGAGGATAGAACTAAGGAATACCATCATGTATAGAAAACAAGTTGAAAAAGTGTTCACCTGTAAACAGCAATTTATTGTTCGAAGACTCTCTGAAACGGCGCTAGTGTAGGAAGTGAAAATAGTACGACTGTAGCAGTTTTAAACAATTCAGTGTGCTGGATTCTAGTGAAAGCTATGTTCCGACAAACTCTGCAAGTATTTTTCAGTGCTCTTGCTTGCTGTGCTGGGGAGAGATTCGTTTAGTTAAGTATACAGTCGTAGTATTCTAGGAAATATATAACGTCATAAATTATTACCATTTTTTCGGTATTTTCGAAGTAAGGCTCTCTCAGGGCTTAAACGCGTGATCACTTTTACCGTGCACAACCTCGTTTCAATAATTCAGTTAAGTTATTGAAGTGAAACTATGAAAGAAAGTGATATTTGCCACAGATGACCTGAATGCGTATTAACAAATCGAAACGGTTACATATGAGTTGTAAGTTGGTCGTTCTTATTGGGAGCGCAGAGCAAAAGTTAGATAAATTGGGGAAGAAAGCATTGCACAGAGGTGAATGAATTCATATACCTCATCATAAAAAATGTTGATCCAAACGAATCACTTACAAATACGAGTTTCTAATGGCTAGTTCTGGTATTGGTTATGGTTCCTGTTTTGGCGCGGTGGCCACAAGTAGCAGGTATTTTTTTAATTAGCAGGTAATTGGCTTTATGCACTCGTTACTAGGCCATAAAATCTTCAAAAAAACAATTAGTACAAAATAGTACCTATGCCCTTTAGGATTAAGGACTGTTTGCCGGGAACACGAGGAGTGAAGCTGTGTGATTTGTTTTATTTTGTATATTTAGTGTTTCTTCAGGCTTAAATGTGTAATAACGGTGGTTTATTATCTGTGAAAGTGTACAAATGTGGAGGTAGCTTTTGGGGAACCTCCAAAAAGTCCACTGAAAAAGTCTCAGTACAAGACCACTTTTTACTTGAGATTATATTTTATCCCATATCATCTCATCTAATTTCATTTGATTTCATTTCATGCCACGTTTCATATTAATGCATTTAATTTCATTTCACTTAATACTATCATTTTTCAAATTAAAAATAATAAAAAACTAGGCAGTAAGTATAGTGTGATATCTTTGCCTTTCCAGTTAGAAAAATAGAACTACTCTTTAAGCAAGTGCATAGTTTATGTCTTAAGGCTGTATGGGTTTAGACCCCCTTGCCTTTTCAAATTACGAAAAATTGTACCAAAAAAAATTTGCTTTAGTCTTTACTGCCATAGATTATACACTTATTACCTATTACTGCACTCCAATGAATTATAATTTGAGAATTTGAACTAAATAAATATATACCAAAGACTGTCCGAATGAATTTACGAAATGTAAGACTTAAGAGCCTTCTCCGACGGAGATCAATTTACACATCCAAACGGTACTCTTCTACAAACGTTGAAGAAACCAGTGTGAAACATTTGTGTAAACATTTAAGTTTATCAGAAAGCAACGTACAATACATCTGTTTAAAATATCCTGTGTTACGGAATATAAATGAAGCCAAAGTACAAGATTTAGTGAATACTGTTCGAGAACTCGGATTTGATAAAAATGTACTTATTGAAGAGCCTTCATTGTTTAGTATTTTACCTCAAACATTACGCCTTAGATACCAAGTTCTAGACGAATGCGGAATACAAACAATTAATAAATCACACCTACTTTCATATTTAACTTTAGTCAAACATAAAACAGTATATGAATTAAAAAAATCAAATGACATCCCATTTCATATTAATGTTGAGAATAGACTTGCTGGTTATATGACACAGTGGCCTACATCACTAACTACGTTAATTTTAGGAGATGTTAATAACTATAACCTGTATGATTTACGTCTTAAAATATTACAGAGGTATTTAGAGTTAGTTCTGGATTTGACAAACAATGAATTTGATAGAGGATTACAAACATACCCAACAATTCGACACAGACCATTGAAATTTATAAATAAAACTTTATCAATACTAAAATCAGAAATTATGATGCCAATTAACAAAATTAAAAGCAACTTATATTTAATACATGTTGACCCTGAAAACCTGAAGGACATTATGTATAATCTACAATCCTTAGGAGGTTTAGATATAAAAGAGGTTATAAGAAGTCATCCGAAGTTGGCCACTAAGAGATGTTCTACAATGATGGAAATGAAAAAATTATTAAATGAATATGGAATTGATAATGAAGCACAAAGAAGATGCTTTGATATATATACATTAGCACCGAGTACTGTGAGAGAAAGGTTAGAGAATGCCAAAAGTATACCAGAATTTAACACCTTTCTGAATCACCCTAGATTTTTGAAAATGATTCATTACAATAAAACAGCTTTAAATAGACTTCGTAAATCATTTGAAAATAATAAGAAATGTCTAAGTCTGAACATTTTATCAGGAAGCTCCGCACATTATGAAGTTTTTGAGAAATCTCCAGGTGACCGTTTGGGTAAAGGTAAAGACCTTTTATTCTGTGTATCACAATCACTTGGTAAAAACTATGGAATGAATGAGATCCGTAGAATTTTAAAGAGACATCCATTTTGGATAAACGTTCCATTAGTACAAGTGCAATATGTCTGTGAAAAGTTATCAAAAGAATTTAGCCACGAGGATATTTATTTTAATTGCCCTATTATTCTGTATCCATGGGATAAAATAAGAGATGCATTAAAGTCTTTGAAAACGGCAGTGCATTCAAATTTGGACCATCTAGATTTTAATAGATTAGGAAATCGTCAAAAGTTAAGTCTTGTACTTTATGCTTTAGAGAAGAAACACTATTTTTCTGGAAATGGCGTATGGGCTGAAGACAAAACCAGGAACATAATTTGTCCATTAAATAAAGAAAATATAAAACAATCTGTCCCTATTTAGCAGAGCTGGCGTTAATGATTAATTAATTGGCAATGAGAAGACTTTTTTTTTTTTTCGGGTAGAGGGCCGAACCTCCTACGAGGTCCCCGCGCAAAAGGGGCGCGCGGGGTATGTGAGACTCAACGATCTGCATGGTGTTGAATGAAATGAAAATTTATGTAAAAAAGGAATCAAAAATCATTACAATAAATTAAAATGAAAAAATCATTAAACAAGTACGGAACAAATGAGAGTTGTAATTTACTAAACTCTACCAGTTTACTTAATAAATAGTTGCTCAGCTTAATCATATCAAAATCTTTAAACTTTAAAATTTCAGAGCGCAATTACAAATCAGAGGAAACCCACCATGTTTCAGTTTTCTCTAAGTGTTTCTTACTAAAACAAATATACAGTCTTGGTGATTCTGCATTTTTTACTGTTAAGTATCTAATTCATGTCGTAACAATAAGTTTTAATTTTTAATTGTATGGAGCAATTTTAATTTGAAGCTTGCATTTCTTTAATTGCATGAATTACATGAATTAAATTTGAAGTAGGATTGATTATGGTCGAATTTGATCATTGGATCTGCTAAGATTATATCGAGGGGTGAAACGCTTTTCAATTTGATATATAGGCGACATTTTTGCAACTTTACAGGAGAACCATTTGAAGTTTGAAATTGAAAAATTATCATAAAAACAATCTTCTTTACCTATTTCAATGGAGTAAACTTAATCGAATTTCCATTAAAAACAACGAACTGTTCATGCTGATACCAAATTAAAGGCATCTTTAGATACAAAGAAAAATGTCGCTTAAACCAAATAGCCTTTCACCCCTGATATGGTACTTTCCTAGCATGTAGGAAACCTACAATTATTTTGAGTTTGTTGCTGAAATGCTAGGTAGGGTAGGGCAATGTTCACAAAGCTAGCTACAACTAGAACCCCCTCCCCAAAATCTATATATTTGTATCTGGCTGGTTTTGGTATCATTAAAATATTAAATCTTATAGAAGATAATTCCAAATTCAAATTAGGAAAATGTGTGATTTTTATTTATTTTTCGTACTGTCAAGATGAATCTAATGAAGAAATTCGATACATTTTAAAATTTTACTACAAAAAAGGTAAATATTGCGGCAAAGCAAGCCGCGAAAAAAATTTGCGATGTTTATGGACCTAGTGCAGTGTCTGTGAGAGTAGCACAAAGGGGATGGCCCATTTTAGGCCCAAAGCGGACAATAGATTATAGAAAAAATACTTAGTGCATTAATTTTGTCATAAATAAATATGCATTTACTTTCTTGGAAATAAGCGCCACTACAGTTTACAATAAGTAGTTTAAAAAAAGTAACTCTATTGAAAAAACAAGGATTTTTATTTTTGCGGGAAAAATATTGCCAG